ACTGATAACTATTTTTGCACTACCATGAAAATTCAACGTTTTGCATGTCACAGTTTAACCCACTACCATTTAGGTCTCGACTGGTCTGACGGTAACTTGCGACTGGTGAATGTGCAAGGTGACCGAGTGCTGGGATCGGAGGTGGCAGTGCGCGATCGCAGTGTCGATATCCCTGTGAAACAGTGGTTATATGTGTTCAATTCGTTATTCACTCCAAATTACCATCATATATAAATTGTGGGTCAATTAGAGTTAGGGAAGCACGGACAAATGAAACAGTATGGGCCAGTGGTAAACAGAATTATCATAAGATTTGGAAGAGAAGTGCTTATCTGTGTGGCAAGCATCAGAAGGATGTATTAACTTTCGTGGAAGCTATGTGTTCTCGAACTGGATCTTGTAGAATCCATCGCTGTATGTGACGCACCTCCAAAGCGAAATGAATTTAAATAATAACAGTAAAGTGCCCATTCTCTCCTTCGTGAAATGCACTAGCCAGACACTGATGGATACAGTGGGTTTACGAAGGGATCTAGAAATATTTCTCAAAATAATAACCATATTTCGAGAACTGACCAAAGTGCTATTGTGCCGTGTTTTCTTTTTATTTGCTGTTATTGTTCACTCTGCACTTTTCTTGAAAAAAGATTTACAGCTGTTGAACTAGCATTCACCAGTTCCAATCCCCACTCGGTTACTTATTACGCTAATTTTGCTATGCAGAAGTTACCAAACAACTGCTGGAGCTGATATTAGTGAACGAAAACAGTTTTTCACATGCACTAGGAAGAGGCAAAGCATGTGTAGGTCTTTGTCGGTTGAACAAACTGACATCAACGTGGCTGAACACTCTGCTGAGAAGCGGCTCAATCAATGTCGTCGTTCCAATATGCGTTTTTGCTGCCTGTTGCAGCGCTCTAACGCTGCACGGCAAAAACGCATAAACCCAGGCTGGAACGCCAGGCGGGCCGGTGCGATTATGCGTTTTTGCACTTTTCGTACCATAGCAAGATCGCAAGGAGTCAGTGTAGAGGCGGGCCGGTGCGATTATGCGTTTTTGCACTTTTCGTGCCGTAGCAAGATCGCAAGGAATCAAATTAGCTAACCCTGTGCTGCGATTATGCGTTTTTGCACTTTTCGTACCGTAGCAAGATCGCAAGGAGTCAATGTAGCTAACCCTATGATGTGATAGTAAACCCAGGCTGGAACGCACCACACCGGCCGGTGCGATTATGCGTTTTTGCACTTTTTCGTGCCTAGCAAGATCGCAAGGAGTCAATGTAGCTAACCCTGTGAAATACTGGCCCTCGAAGTTCGGAAGTAAATTGTGCACCTATGTGGTATGTCAGTTGTAGGTGTCGACTTCAGTGACCCGACAAATGGAAAGTTGCTGGTCCGC